TGATTTGATTGGCCAGCAACTGCTCCTTCTGAAGTTAAATAGCATCTAGGTTATAGGAGACCCAATGATATAGGGTTCAAGGACCACTAGATGTCAATAGTATTAGTGTAAGATGGACTACAGATACTATGAAGGTTCCAGGCACTCCTACCATGGGCATTCTGGTTTATGACTCAGAATGTTGGAAGCTCTTAAATCAGTTCCTACCTTAAGACGAAAGGGGAGTCATGGGGCTTAACATTTTCAGGCCTCTGTTCCTCCAGCTATTTTTTGTTGGGGTAAAATATATATATTTTATTCATGCCATAACATTTACTATTTTAACCACATTTGATTGTACAATTCAGTAGTGTTAAATATATTTATGTTGGGGGTGCCTGGGTGGCTCAGTGGGTTAAAGCCTCTGCCTTCGGCTCAGGTCATGATCCCAGGGTTCTGGGATCGAGCCCCGCATCGGGCTCTCTGCTCAGCAGGGAGCCTGCTTCCTCCTCTTTCTCTGCCTGCCTCTCTGCCTGCTTGTGATCTCTGTCTGTCAAATAAATATATAAAATCTTTAAAAAAATATATATACATATATATTTATGTTGTACAAAATATCATCAGTATCTATCTCTAGAACTTTTTCAAAATCCCTTTATGAAACACTGTACCCATTTAACAGTAACTCCCATTCCCACTCCCAACCCCTGGTAACCACTGTTTGCCATTCTATCTCTATGAATGTGATTACTCTAAGTACCATACATAAGTACACTCATAAAATATTTGCCATTTTAAAAAAATATTTTATTTATTTATTTGACAAAGATCCTAACTCTTTGAGGAACTGCTGTTCTGTTTTCCACTGTGGCTACACCATTTTCCATTCTTCTCATCAGTGCACAAGGTTTCCAGTTTCTCCATATTCTCACCAACACTTGCTTGTTTGTTTTTCAGTAGTCCCTGTAATGAGTGTGAAGTGATAGGGATTTTATTTTTGTGTTTCCCTAATGATTAGTAATGTTGAGCATCTATTCATGTGCTTATTAGCCATTTGTGTATCTTTTTTGGAGAAGTGTCTATTCAGGTCTTTTGGCTATTTTTGAATTGGGTTGTTTGTTTTGTTGTTGTCGTCTGATGAATTTTGTTGCTATCTGGGCATTTTAGGTAATATGTGGTATCAACTCTGGAATCTGATTCCCCTTCCTCTCTCTCTGGATTGTTGTTTGCTTGTTTGTTTGTTTAGTGGCCTGAGTGGAGTATTTTGGTAGTCCATTTCCCCTGCAGTGTGAAGCCTGTAATGTACACCTCAAAGGTTACAGTCTTGGCTATGTACATCTTTATTTGGGATGACTAGCTGGGCTATCTTTGACTAGTTCTCTTCCCGGTTTTTCTCTTATCTGTCTCATTGGGTATTATCCAACTGTTAGACTCTACTAATTGCTGGATGATTAGTCTGTTACTTCAACAATGTTCTGGTGTATAAATTGCCTTACAGTCTTGTCCAGTTGACTCCAGGCTGGTATATTCATTGATACTAGTTATTGGGAGTGGTTGGTAACATCTGATCTTGCTTGCCTCTCCAGGTATGAAATCTGTACTCTACTTTCAAGCTTGGAACAGGATGATCAGGGCCTGTCCTAGGAGGGGTAGAGCCTCCGGGTAGGGATTGAGTTGGGGAAAGAAGCCCCCAAATTCTTGGATGCAGTAACCAGATATTTAACCTCTTCAGTGTGGGGAAGAGGTTGAGAAATGCTGAAGGAATGCTCTTCCTGGTGATGGAGAACTAAGAGGAGAGGGGACCCCATTTTCTTTGTCACCATTCTGGAGTACAGCTTCTGTGAAACTGAATTGCAGTTGGGGAGAGAAGGAGTGGGTTGTAGCTACTGTGCTAAGGACTTACAGTGTTTTCGCTGAAATATAATAGATTTTTCTTGAGTACATGTTTCTTCATTTGCTATATACTCTTAGAACAATTTCAGAGCCTTGAAAAATATTTTTAGTATTTTATTCTCCAGTTGTTGTTTCACTGGGCAACTCGTCCATGGGGAGTTCACACCAGCATTCTGGAAGTAAACTTTATGAACTTGCATCCTTCAACTTTTTTTTCCTTATTATTATTATGTTCACTTAGCTACCGAGCCAGCCCTGCAAGAAATTTAATGAACTTTTGGGGCGCCTGGGTGGTTAAAGCCTCTGCCTTCAGCTCAGGTCATGATCTCAGGGTCCTGGGATCGAGTCCCACATCAGGATCTCTGCTCAGCAGGGAGCCTGCTTCCTCCTCTCTCTGCCTTCCTCTCTGCCTACTTCTGATCTGTCTCTGTCAAAGAAATAAATAAAATCTTAAAAAAAAAAAAAGAAATTTAATGAACTTCCATCCTTAAAATTCAGCATGCAGGGGCGCCTGGCTAGCTCAGTTGATAGCATGTGACTCTTGATCTCAGGGTCATGAATTCAAGCCTCACATTGCATGTGGAGCCTACTTAAAATAAAAATTAAAAAAAAATTTTAAAAATTCAGCATGCATTGTTGGGATACTGGGACATTCTCTTAAATAGACACAGTGTGATTAGCACATTCAGGAAATTCAACATGGATTTTGTACTAATAGCTGATAACTGTTCTACAGTACTTACTGGGAGGTGGCTTTCTTAGGCTCAGCTCTACTTTCCTACTTATAGGACAACATGGTCCACATTTACCTCAGACACACTCTGAGGGACACAGGAGAGGAGCCATAGCCAATGTCATGCCCTTTCCTGCTGGAGATTGGCAGCAGAGGCAGACTTTGTCTCAGGCCTGGAGGCAGAGCTGCAGCAGGCATTGCTACAGCAGCCCTGCCTTATGAACCCTGTTAAAGTCACAGAGACAGAACTCCCAAGCCTGACAAGACATGCCTGTTCCCAGAGACATTGCTCTCTGGGGAGTCCAAGTAATAGGATCTCTTTCAGATGTTCACCAGACTCCCAGTCATGTGTCCATCAAAAGTCATTTCTAGGTGCTATCCTCTGGCCACATAGCTATCAGGTTCCTAGACAGAAAGTGAACCTAGAGTCACGTTCTCACGCAGAAAGAGAAGGGGTTTGGGGAGTCTTTTATTTACAACAGTCTCTATTCATATTTTGCCAGTTGCCCCAATACTGTCCTTTATAGCGCCTTTTTTTTTTTTTTTAACATTTAGCATCTTTGTGTTGAGTCACCGTGTCTTCTTAGTTTTCTTTTGTCTGCAGCAGTCTTTTAGCCTTTCTTTGTCTTTAGGAGCTTGCCTTTTTTGAAGAGGGGAAGCCAGCAAATTTATAGCCTGTTTAATAGTTTTATGATTAGATTCAAGTGATGCATTTTGGCAGGAATACCAAAGATGTGATGTTGTATCCTTCTCAGTGCATCCTCTCAGGAGGCATGTGATGTTGGTTTGTCCCATTGCTGATGATGTCTACTTTGACCGCTTGGTTAAGGTGATGTCTATCAGGTTCTACAGAGTACTATAAAGATAAGTTTTTCTCTTCATAATTAATGAGAAACTGGTAGAAGTGATTAATGGAGACTATGTTGCAATCCTACATTCTTCCTCAACAAACTTTTATCCACTTGCTTTCATTTCCATTGATGATTCTTGCCTAAATTGGTTTTATTGTGATGTTACCAAATGGTGATATTCTAACTCACCATTCTTCCTACTCTGTCATTACTTATTAGCCCAATTTTATTTTTTTCAAGTACTTATTGTAATATCTGTAGCTCTGTTCCTCCATGAAGCAGGCTGAATTCCTGTGTTCATTATACAAAATTACTATGAATTAAAATGTCTGATTAGATTTATTTTTTTAAAATAATTTCTCTAAAAGAGTAATTACAGAGTTACTTTTTTATTTGAGTGTAGTTGACACAGAATGTTACATTAGTTTCAGGTGTACAGCTTAGTGATTTGGTAAGTTTATACATTATGCTATGTACATCATAAGTATAGCTTATCTGTCCCAATTACATTACTATTATAATATCATCAACTACTGAATGAGAGAACATATTTGCAAATGATATATCTCGTAAGGGTTAATATCCAAAGTATATCAAGAACTTAAATAACTCAACACCAAAAAAGCCAAACGATATGGTTGAAAAATGGGTTGAGGACCTAAATAGACATTTTTCAAAAGAAGACATACTGGTGGCCAACGGACACATGTAAAGAGTCTCAGCATCACTCATCATCAAGGAAATACAAATCAAAACCACAATAAGTCATCACCTCACACCTGTTAGGATGGCTAAAATCTAGAATTAGCTATTTTAATCTGAAGTGAAGAAACCTGTCAGATGAGCATTTTGACCTATCTGAAGTAGTACAGCTGTGTGTCTCAAAGGTTGGGAGACTATCTTGCTGCGGGTTCCTGTCATATAGGCAGGAAGAGGGACCCATCTGACGGGGAGGCCCGGGCCCCTGCCCATGTTTCTGTCTGACTATACATGGGGATACATGAGGGTAACCTAAGAGAATATGGTTGGCTGTGTAATGTCATATCTATGTAATGTCAAATCACTGAGTGAGTGAAAAGTCTGCTGCCCATATGGTTGAAAAAAGAGCCATATCATAAAGGCTCTACTAAATGAAATTTGAGTAACTTGTTCAGGCACTAAGTCATTGAATCCTATGCTCATAATTATCATATAAATGGGTTGCTATAATGTATGAAAGAGCTGGACTTCAATATAAAACTTCATGCCAAAGAATATTTGTATCTCTGGGTGGCATGATGAGCCAAAAAATATTTTTTAATAAAGGTTTCACTTGTTGTTTGGGTTAGCTTGTTTTCATTGCAAAAAATATCTGTATTTGCCACTTGTAGTGGTTTCTCATGCTGCTATCTATAGACTAAACGATTCTTTAAAGGGTGAATAAGCAGTATGGCATTCATTATTCTTCTCAATTTTATTTTCATGTAAAAACTCATCTTCAAGTGTATAGTTTGTAAACCTCTTGCTTTGTACTTTTCTCACATTTTTATCTCACTCTCTCATAGGCACCTCCTATTTAACAGACATTGTGTGGTGGGCAGGCACAATTGCAAGTAAGTACCCAGTGTGGTGAAGAGCTTGGTTTGCTTGCTTTCTTAAGATCAGTCATTCTTCTGGCAGGACTGGAGGAGGTGGAATGAGTACAGCTCCATTCTTTGGGCTGAGGACTAGGCTGGGAGGAATTGGAGGGAGGAAATAGAGGTTCCGTACTGCCTGCAGTTAGCTCTGAATTTAGTCCAGGTCAGACTGTCCAGGGCCCAAAGAAATTGAAACGCTCCTTCTTACTCATCTGTAATCATGCTGTTGATATCTGGTGAAATTATGTTTTGTTAAACATAATTGGTTTTACAAAGGAGAGTTTCTTCACTTAGCCTTAAGTACAGGATCATATGCTATTGTATAAAAGAGGTCATGTGCAGAGGTTATCTAGTATCATATAAAAATAAATAATAAAATTGAAGTTCAGAACCCTAAATATATAAAGAAAAATTATATTAGAAAATTCAGAAATATCATGAGGTTTATTTGTCACACATTATCTTTTAGGCAAGCTGTTGTCTAGCAGATGTTGTTTCCTTTCATTGAGGAGCTCATCTTTAAGCTCTGTCTCGGTATAGCTCTGTGTGCAGTCCTCTGCAGGCAGTAGTTTTTCCAGGTGATGTGCCTGCAGCATGTCACTGTGGCCAGTAGACTGTACTGGAGTAGATCCCAGACCATTGAAAGGACAGGAAATTCTACATGATTAGTGTTAAAACAAGGATGTGTTAAGGAGAGAGTGGAAATATACTTTGTTGCACCCACTGTCAATCACAGCCATTTAGTTTGGGAATTTCCACAGAGGGCTGAAACTACTCCTGACTGATTGGGTCCGTGATGCTCTGGGGCCTGCTCTCTCTGCCTTCAGGACCCTTAATTATGCAAATGATGCTCCACATTTGCTTCCTCACAAGTAATGAAAAGAAGTAGCCCTTTCAGAACAGAGCCTTGCCAAATTAAACTCTGTGATCATTGCTAAAAGAAAGCTGTAATTGCAAGTGGTATCCTTGTGATTCTCTTGACAGTGGCTGTTGGCCAGATTGGAAACTTTCTGGCTTACACTGCAGTCCCCACGGTCCTGGTGACTCCACTGGGTGCCCTTGGAGTGCCGTTTGGGTAAGAACTGGGATGCCGTGTTTTCATTTTTATTTTTTAAATTTTTAAATTATTTTTTTAATTTAAATTTATTTTTTCATTGTTTCAAGATTCATTGTTTATGCACCACACCCAGTGCTCCATGCAATAGATCTTCTCCTTAATACCCACCACCAGGCTCACCCAGCTCCCCTCTCCTCCCCTCCAAAACCCTCAGTTCGTTTCTGAGTCCACAGTCTCTCATGCTTCTCTGTAATCACCAAGACAGCATGGTACTGGCACAAAAACAGACACATAAACCGATGGAATAGAGTAGAGAGTCTGGATATGGACCTTCAGCTCTATGGTCAAATAATCTTCGACAAACCAGGAAAAAATATCCAGTGGAAAAAAGATGGTCCCTTCAATAAATGGTGCTGGGAAAATTGGACAGCTTTGTATAGAAAAATGTGTTTTGGTTTTTAATGTGTAGTTTTAGTTATAAACAAACTTTCTGTTTAAATGTTTCTGTTTAAATAATAAAAGCAAAATTATAACTGAAGGTAGGTTTTCAGTATTCTACTCTATATGGTTTAATTTTAACTTCAAATTTAGTTGTTGTTGTTGTTTTTTAAAGATTTTATTTATTTATTTGACAGAGGTCACAAGTAGGCAGAGAGGCAGGCAGAGAGAGAGAGAGAGGAGGAAGCAGGCTCCCTGCCAAGCAGAGAGCCCGATACAGGGCTCGATCCCAGGACCCTGGGATCATGACCGGAGCCAAAGACAGAGGCTTTAACCCACTGAGCTACCCAGTCGTCCCTCAAATTTAGTTTTTTGAGTTAACCATTCTTTTAGAAATTTGCTTTAGTATATTTCAGACCCTAACTTATGAGTGGACATCAGAGGATGTGATTCTGTCATTCTCCTAGTCTTTACCCCGGAAGACTTCCAAGAGACTAGAGTCTTCCTGGTAACTTGGCAAGTGATTCTGAGAACTCATTAAGCAAAACTAGTCTCTTGGTATTTTATTTGTGTGCCTGGCATCCCCTACCAGACACTGAACAATTCTCCCACTCACTCCACCTGGGAAATTATGGAAGTGAGACAGATGACACCTGGTTACCAATGGGTATAAAATAGAATTTATAACTCCTAACAGTTAACAATAGATGGATCCCCATGCCCAGGGGAAGGGCTTCTGTGTGGTTCAGAGAGAAAGGAGGGAGATGGAGCTTTGGGTTTTTATTGTAGTTCAAAAGGGAGTGTGGTGAAGGTTCACTCACTCAGGAGGGACTTGGATGGTTTGAAATTTCTGCCATTGCCAAGGGCCGGAAGACACCAGGGTCTGAGCGTGCTTTCTTATAAGGTCGCCCAGATGTGGGGCAAAGGGAGTAAAATAGAACTGGGGACTTGATGGCTGCCAGCCACCATGCATTACAAGTGGAGTCTTTGTATTACATTTGGCTTACTTACTAAAATGATTTTATGAGACATTTATTGAATAGCACAACACATATCCTCCCATGAACCTATTTATATTTTGTTTTACCTTTGAAGAAATTACTAAGAAATAGATATAATAGAAGAGAAATAAAATCCCAGTTTCTAACTCATTTATATAGCGATACTCTGCTGTATTCTAGACAGATTTCCAGATTCTTTCAGAGAAGTGTGTCTATGATGGATATATTTAAATTATACTTTCAAGTCAATGAGGCTTTAAGATTCTATAGCCTAAAAAGCATAAATATGTTTTATGCAGGTTAACCTTTGGAAATGTGTTTATAGAATGTTTTTCTTAGCCAAACAAAAGACTAATATAATATGTAGCTTGATGTCACTTTGTGTTTGGATGGTCCTGAAGAGCTTGGATTGCGTGAGTGATACTCACTTCAGGGAATCACTACTCTAGCTTCTCACAGCCCAGCCTCACTCTTTGATTTGTTCTCCTGAAAAAACTTCAAGCAAATAAGTAATCTGACCCTAGGGTCTTTGCACATTGCACATTTAATATGTATATATTAAAATATCTTGCCTAAAATAGGCAAGAACTATTCTCATGGCTTTGAAAATTAAGTCACCTCACCAGAAATGTTCAATGCTGTAAGTCTTCAGGAGATAGACTAGAAATAGAGAAGAGAAGTAGAGAAATAGAATAGACTAGAAATAGACTAGGAAGCCCCAAAATAGGTCCACTTTTCTCTGTAACGATTCATTGTATGATAAAGTAAACATCACAGCACAGTACTTTTAAAAGAAGTTTAAAAACACCTTATTTGGAAGTAATTTCCAAATTACAGAGAAGTTACAAGATTAAGAATAATCAAAATGGGATAGTTAAATGGGTGGTGGGGATTAAGGAGTGCACATATTGTGATGAGCACTGACTGTATTATGTAAGTGTTGAAACACTATATTGTACCCTAACTGGAGTTAAAATGAAAACTGGAAAATAAAAAGAATAATCACAACAACACCTGTATACCCTTCACCTGTGCACACCTTCTGTTGATATTTTATCTCACTTACTCCATTATTTGCTTTCTCTGTATCAAGGTTTCTCTGCCTCAACACTGTTGACATTAGAGGCCAGATCATTCTTTGTTATGAGGGCTGATTTGTGCATTTTAGGGTGTTTTGCATCCCTAGACTTCACCAACCAGATGCCAGGAATAACCCCCACAAAAATGTGTCCAGACATGGCAAATGTCCTGGGAGGGGACAAATCACCCCCAGTTAAGAACCATAAATGTGGTATTTGCTTTGGGTTTTTTTTTGTTCCTTTGTTTTTTATTCTTTTAGGCTACTTCTGTCATGACTCTTCACCCTTAAATAGGTTGATTTGTGTTTCCTAACACTACAAATATTCTTTTAATAACCACAGTACAATAATCTATTTCAATACATTTAACATTATAGTACATGTATCTAATCTGCCTTCTGTATTCCAGTTTTGTTAATTGATCCATTCTACCCTTATTTTATGCCATTATCCTTTATACCTTTATTTTTATAATATGCCATTACTTTTATACCATTATTTTTTATTTTTTCCTTTGTACCATCATTTTTGCTTCTATTAAAAGATCCAGTATAGTATTGGGAGCTGCATTTAATTTTCATGTCTGCAGTCTACAAGAGAGATTTTTTCTTTAAATAAATAATATTGGGAGAACTGGTAAGAAATTTATAGGAACATCAATTTGAATCATAGCACTGTCAAAATATGACCTAATTGAATTAAGTATTATATACAGAATGGCCATCAAATGTGAAAATAGAGGCAAATACAACCTTGAATGGTGTGTTGATACTATTCCAGTGCATGACTGAAGTGGTGTATTGAAGTATGTTGTCCTGCTCAGTAATGCAGAGTTCAGTGTTCTGTGTAAAGCTGTGGTAAGCCCAATAAATTAATGTGCCCAATTATCTGTTGCATACAGTTGTAGACATTTTCTGTCTCTGATTTTCACTGATTAAGACAGCATCTCTAACATAACCCAGAGTATATATTACAGAGGTTTAATCTGTAAAGGAGGAGGAAAAAAAACTTAGCTATGTTTCCATGGTTTATGGCCTATGTATAAGAAAAATATTTTTACAACTTGAAAAAACGGAAGTCTTTTAGATCTTAAAAGGATAAGAAATTTCTAAAGTTTGAAGTAATAAAAATGAAAAGTTTAACTTACTACAGTAAAAAAGTAAAATGGGAAAAAAATTTAAATCAAATATGATAGTAATTAATATGATGTAAGGAGTTTCTTAAATTGGTCAGAATAATATGAAAATCCCAGTAGATAAAATGACAAAGGGCAAAACTGACAATTTGTTCATAAGAAAACACATTTATTTCAGTAATATTTACCCTCATTTTCAATAAAATGCACATAAGCAACCTGATATAGTGTAATAAATACCTGTGTATTTAATAAATATTTCAAAACTAATAAGAATATTTGAAAAGATACCTGCTAACTATAACAAACTATAAATACATATTTGTTCTCCTTTTTTTTCTCAGCTTTTTGAAAATAGACATAAATTTTACAAAATAATAATTACAATAATGTATTATTGGGTTTGTGAAAGACCCAAGTAGCACACACAAAAAAAAAACAGCGCAAAAAGAAAGAAGTAGGAATTGAGCTATAGAGGAGTAACACTGTATCTCACTGAGGTTAATTTAGTATCATTTTGAAAGGTATTCTGATAAGCCCTAGAGAAACCACTAAAAAAATAACAAAGAAGTGTGGTGAAAAAAACCAATAAGGAACTAAAATGTTATGCTGGAAAGATTCACTTAATGTAGGAGAAGGCAGTAAGTGAAGAATCAGGAACAAAATGTAAAAAATAAAAAGTCAAATGGCAAACACACAACTAACAGTATCAATAAAAATATTTAATGTCAGTGAATAAAACAATCCAGTAAAAAGGCAGAGATTAGGAGCACCTGGATGTCTCAGTCTGACTCTTGATTTTGGCTCAGGTCATGATCTTGGAGGTGGGATTGAGCCTGGAATCAGACTTTGCACTCAGTGTGGAGTCTGGTTGGGATTCTCTCTCTAACTCTCTCTGCTCCTCCCCCTCTCTCACTTTCTCTCTCTGAAATAAATAATTTCTTTTTTAAAGCAAAGGTTGTCAGGCGGGATAAAGATCCAACTTATGCTTCTACACAAGACATTTTAGATTCAAAGATGTAAATGAATTGAAGGTAAAAGGAAGGAAAGAAAATATATTATGCAAACAATCCCATAAGAGTTGGAGAGGCTATCTATCAAAGTAGATTGTAAAACAAAAAATATTATTCCTGATAGAGACATCTTGTAATGACAAAAGTTCAGTCCATCAGAAAGGTGTAACAATTATAAACAAATATGCACCTAAAAACAGAGCTTCAAAATATATGAAACATACCTGAATGAATAAAGAGTAACAGACAATTCGAGAATAATAGTTATGACTTTCAATACCCTACTTTCAATAATGGATAGAAAAACTAGGCAAAATATCAAGAAGGATATAGAAGACTTGAATGACACTAT